TGGATGATGATCTGATTAGTCGACTAATCGCAAAAATAATCGGTGACTAGTCAACTATCAAAATAATAGTTTGTGTCAGCCCTATCTTCATCCACATATTATTGTGTCAGCTGTCCTGATCAAATCTTTGATCTCTACATTTTTTCTTTGGTAAAAAGTGGAAATAAATAGTGTCAGAATCAGCCTGTTAGTCTTCTACCTACTTCAACTAGACAGTGAGAGGGGAGGAAATATCTGTGGTGCCTTGGTTGGGCAGACTTACATGTTAACCTGCTGCAGGATAGTGTTGTTACCTCTTTTAGCTCTTACATGGACATCTTTAGTAGAGCTGAGCACAGTGTACAGAGTCTTATCAAACTATTGTAAAATTTAATCTGTGTCTGAAAAAACAGCTTTCTTGACTCCCTCTACAATTACAGTTGAGGTGCCCTCGAGCAAGTTGTTTAACCCGGAACAACTACGTCGATATGTTTGTGTGTGTGTGTGTTGGGCACTTCCTAGATGTGTGAACGTGTGCAACGCTTAAGGGCGATGCAGCCAACAAACGGTAAACAGGTTCCTCGTCAGCTGTTGAATTGTGGCTTCTTTTTTTATTATTACCATCATCAAGTGGTCAAAGTGCACAACAGGCAGCAGAAAGGTGTACATGACTGCCAGGTGGGATACCTGATGATTAACCTGACACACCAGATGGTTTGTTACACAGAGCCTCCTGGGAAATTGTCCTTGGAACCTGTATGGGCAAGGGTAGGCACACGAATAGTTGCTTTTCATTTTTTGATTGGACAAGCAGTTTGTTTCACCATCTACCATGAGCTAACACCAACCAACCAAAAGGACACTGAGAGAAAAAGCCAGCTGCAGTGGTGCATATTAGTATATTGTTAAGGCTTATCTTTAGTTGATTTATCCAATTGGGTATTTCTAAGGGCCCATGAATGCCTACCTATACATATTTGCAAAGACGAGTCCTTGTCAGACTGATTATTTTATGACTGCAGACCTAAGACATATACAGGGATCTGGGTAATCTCATGATGGTAATAATTTTGTTTAATGTATAACGCGTATAAAGATAGGCAGCAATCACGGGACTTATAAGATGAGACAACTGATGAAGTATGAAATCTAGATCATTAAAAAAAATTACAGACTTAGAGTTTTAAAATTCACTCAAATAGAATAATTTTCATGAAATAAATTAAAGATCACCTGCTCACCAAAGACTACTGCATTTTAAGGGTTTGAATTATTACAGTATTTCAGTATTGGATAATTTTAATTATATTACAGTTAATGTTGTCAAGTTGCAAAGGAGACAAGTGTCAGATTTTTCCTTTTTGTCAGAGTAAAAGCCAACATGTTTTCATTCATTGCAACTATGCAAGCAGGTAGTCCTCCTGGCAGTGGCTTAGCTTAGACTGTAGTGTACAGAAACTTCAAAGTGTGCATTTGCATAATCAACATCTTAATCAACTAGTAGTGGG